CTAAGAGGCAAACTCATTGATTGCCTTTGTGGAGGGGTTGTGGCATCCTCGCCATTTCTGGCATCCGTCGGCTCAAAATGGCCCAGGAGGTCTTCAGTATGGCCCGCGGGCGGCACACGAAGGCGGGCCTCCGGAGGTACCCTCGACGGCCTGAGAGGGCCCCATCGACGACTCAAGAAGGACCCAGCACGTCCCCACAACGGCCCAGAAAGAGCATCAGCATCAGCAAAAGAGAGACAGAGAGAGAAAAAAGAAAAAGAAAAAAAGAAACAAAAAAAAGGTGCGCCCACCGACAGCCGCCCACCGAGAGCCGCCCGCAGAAATCGGCCGGCTACTTTCGCCAATTCCTTCTATGTCCGCTAGGGCCCCCTCAGTGTAAACGCTGATTGGGGAACCTATATATAAAGAAATACAGGAATACATGGATTTGTTTACATATCTATATAAAAATATTGAGACAGCCCTTCCCCCAAGCACCCACTAATCGTATTCTTTTCTTTTCGCGTCGTTCGTCTGTCCTGCGTGCTCCTGTCCGTCCTCTCCCTTGCTTGCCACTTCCCCTAGCGGATGCGGGAATATCCAGGCTTGCAAAGATTTGTCCGCAGACACGACAGAGTCGCCAAGCCTCACGATTACACCTGGATTTTGTAGTTTCTGGGTCTGAGAACCCCAGAAATCTTAGTTGATTTGGACTTGTTGGAATTGTTTGATTTCCAGCCATCCAGCAAAATCCACCCAGGAGCCCCCTAAGGCTCCGAGCCCCAGAAATCCAAATGAATTCGCAGGTTTCTCGACGTCAGGATGCCCAAACCCAGTGGTTTTGCTAGGGATTTCTTGGATGAGAATCCCAGGACCCTAGTGAATTAATTTTGATTTCCGCTGGATTTTTGGGGTTTGAAGCCCTTGGTACCTCCGGGGTGGGTTTTTTGTCGCAGACCAGAAAACTTATAAAATTCCAAAGTACACCCAAATTAAATCGCTGGGCTTCAGGTATTCTCATCCCAGAAAGCCCAAACACCGATATGAATTCACAGGTTTCGCGACGTCATGGCGCCCAAATCTTGATGAGTCATTCGGGTGGTTCTGGTTTCCGGGGTGAGAAGCCCAGAGCCCTTGCGATTTCATGTGGCTGCTCCTTTTTGCAAAGTTGTCTTCAAAGATGAGATTCGGAGCCCTGGAGGTTTCCTTCCTTGTTGGTTTTTCATAGGAGACCAGAAAATCCCCCAAATCATGCGCATCCCAGTGGAATCACACGGCTTCTGGGATTCTCATCCCAGAGACCAATAGCATCACACTGAAGGCACAGGAGTCGGCGGCGCCTGAGCTCCAGAGCAGGAGGAGAGGTGCAAGTGCGCCAGGGAGCCAGAGGAAGGGGGGAGGGCGAGGCAAGCGAGCGGGGGGAGCCGGCGGGATCTGTGCTCTGCCCAGTTCCAGCCTGATCCGTATTGGATCGCAGCAGGCGTCTCATTGGGCTCGGCTGGGTCTGGGATCGCACATGTCCATGACATTTTCACTACGCCGCGGCAGGAATCCATGTGGACGCGGCTGGATCAGGGATCTGCCCCATTCCAGTCCGATGTTAATCAGACCCCAATAGGAATCAAATTAGAATCAGCTGGGCCTGGGATCTGCTTCATTCTATTATGTGTTCAACCGGAGTACAAGTTGACCCAGCTGGACCTAGCTCCTGTTCAAGTTTAGTTAGATTCAAATTCGTTCCCACTAAGAATCCACTGGGAATCAGCTGGGTCGGCTCTGACTGCAACAGGATGACTGATGTCTTCGAAGCAGTAAAGAAGAAAAACACTATAGTTGAAAAAAGGCGCCGACAAGCGCATACTTGTTGAGAGGATGCAGAACATGCAATCCCTTGTTGTCGCTGATGCACAAGATGCAATCAAATTGTTGTTGCTGCTGGCGGCCGGAATCGGCGGCTGCAAGCCACGCGGCGTGCCACGGCCGGAAGACCGCCAGTTTGTAGTTGAGCACCCGGTACGCCAAAGTGCAGAGTTGAGGGCGGTGGTGGTCGTGCCAACCATGCAGCATGAAAGCGCTCCGTTCGGCCCGAGAGAGGTCGGCTGGGAGTGGTAGAGGTAAATGGAGCCCGTGCGCTCGACGAAGCGGCTCCGTGGTCGGACATTCGTGCATCATGTGGTGGGTGTTGTTGTCCACCTGGCAGGTGGGGCAGGTGCGCGAGAAGCAATCCGGATGCAGATGCGAAAGGCGCACTGCGTTGGGCTCGGCTGCCATCACGCACCTCTGTGCCAAAGCGAACCGGTCGTGGTCGGCCCCGGCGTGTTCGTTCAGCCACTCGCAGAGGGTCGTGTGGCAAGGCGCTGGTACGCGGCCAGCGGCCTCCTTGCGGAGCGTCCGTCGGTGGTAATGTGTCCAAATCCATGCCCGCCATGCCTGGCGCACGTGGTGGTCCAGGTGTTCTTGGCGAAGGAGTCGAACATCGAAAGTTTGATGGTCGAAATGGTACTTCCATGGACTGTCTGTGGGCTGCCAGAAACGGGAGACGACTTGACGGATCCAGGCAGCCAGGCGATAGCTCCACGATCCGTCCGCACGACCTCCGTGCTGCTCCTGCTCGTGCAGGTGGGTCCAGGCTCGCTCCATGGTGCGCGCGGTGTCCTCGCTAGGAATCAGCTGGGTATGGGATCTGCTCCCTTCCAATTAGATCCGAATTACATTCCAGTCGGGATGTACTTGGAATCGGTTGGATTTGGGATCTGCGAGCTTCAGAGATTATTCTAAACAGATGTCGGTCAGAGTCCAAATGGAACCAGTGGGATCTGGGATCCGCTTCGCCCCATTTGAATTCGAACTATACTCCGAATGCGATCGAATTGAAGTCAGCTGGATCTGGGATATGCCCAATTCCAAATGGATGTCCATTAGATTCCAATGGGGATCACATGAGAATCAGCTGGATTTGGGGCTTCTTTCTATTCAGTCAGTTTCTCACGGCCCTGGCGCGTGCCATGCCCATGATGGCGATGCATTTCTTTTCGCGCGCCGCCGTCGACGAGGCTGGCATGATGGCAAGATGTGGACAATTGGAGCCAAGAGGGGCGACGGAAACGGGATGATGAGAGAGCGAGGGGGGGGGGGAGAAAGAGAGAATGAGAGAGAGAGAGAGATTGAACGCAAGGGAGTGCGATGGGGAAGTTGGGAAGAAACATGGGGGGGCAGATAAAGGAATGAGGAGAGGGTGGGGAGGGAGGGAGAGAGGGATGACAATACGGAGGATGAGCACAAATAGGAAGAGGGTGACGTTCAGCGCAGAAAGGATGAACTGGGGAGACGAACGGAAGGGGATAGATGAAGAGATGGCGGACGATGAGGGAAGTAAGCATGATGAGGAGTCGGATGAGTTGAAGCAGGAATGCGAGCGAAACGATGCATTGAGAAAAGCGATGGGAAGATAATGGGGCAGGAGTAGCAGTACGAGAAGTACTGTCAGGGAACATGGAGATTTAAAACAAAAGGGTGAACAGCTCGACGGCCCATGGGAAACAAGTGGGTGCTGGGGGGGGGGCTGCGCAAATACATTTATATCTATATATATATGTACGCATACAAAGACACCCACAGACATACATATACACATGTATACATGTGTATATGTATACACATAGTTTCATGTAGGCAGAGATTCCTGCTGCTGCCCCCTCTCTTCCCCCTCCTCGCGCCCCTCCCCGCCCCGGCGCCTGCTCCCAGCCGATCCCCTGCTGCCCCCGCCCTTGCTCGTCCCAGCACCTCGCGTGCGCAGCCCGAGTTCGTGGCGGCGGGGTGCACGGCGCAGCAGCGACGGGCACCTTCCAGGAAGGGAAAATACACTCAGGCACAAAGAAGCCTTGATGCCAATGAGAATATAAATGATATTGTAGAAAAAACCCATCAGGGCTATAGGGCTAGGGGGCTATAGGGCTGTTGAGCTATAAGGCTATAGAGCTATAGGGATATTGGGCTATAGGGCACCCCTGGGCACCCCCAGGCACCCCCGGGCACCGGGGCACCCTCGGGCACGCCCGGGCACCCGGGCACCCCCGCGGGCACCGGGTCACCCGGGCACCCGGGCGTGCGGCGAAAATCGGCGGCAAACCTAACCTAACCATATGAATCCGCTAGGATCCCTACGGAGGCAAGCTCTGATTGGGGAAAATATCCCACAGCACTTGAGATGGAGGGGAAGACGGGAAGCCAGAGCAGATTCAAGTTGTGGGAAGCCCGAAACGTGTGTCCACCAATGTGTATCCCTGGGCCCCTTCAGCAGCATGTGCCAGCAGCATGCCGCACAGGGAGTTGTCGCCGCGCTTCAGGCACTGGGGCCCTCACAGATCGATCTGGCGGGAATGGACGGAGCGAGCTCGGCAACGCCTCGGATCTTGGATCTGATCTGGAGGCCGCGGTGCTACGGTCAGGAGCTTTGGTTTAGCATGTCGCTTCCCCTGCCCTGCCCCATCCACGCGTCGGCGCGACACGCTGTCGACGTCCCAGTCCCCACGCGTCAGCGTCTCGAGCTCTTCCCAGCCTTCCGCCCCGCAGAGCGGAGCGACACAGCGTGCCGCCGGGGCCGCCGCCGCGGCGCGCGAAGCAAGAGTTCCCGACCGTACCACTTCGCGAGCAGTGGCAAAGCGTCCTGGCATGCCTATAGGCATGCCAAACAATGTTCTAAGAACCTTTTGTGGTTTCCACGAAATGTTCTGAGAACATTTCTGGCTGCGACTGCCTTGTTTTTACCCATCGGGCTTATGGTTTAAGAACATCGTTTTTGTTAGAACATGTCGTGGTAGGCTTATAGGAATGCCCGGACGGTCGGTCCCTGCTCAAATTACTGCACGTTGGAGCACGGCAGCCGCCTTGACGTCGAGTTGCGTGCGTGCGTGCGCACCTCGCTGGGGCATCCTGCGGAGGAACGCCGCTCCCAGGTTCGGCCCTCTCTGCGAGAGGATTTCGGGCCGCCCCCGCCCGCGCCCGGCCCCCGCAGCTGGCAGGAAGTGGCCACGCAGGCCCTGGAGGCGCTGTGCCTGGAGCCGGACGCCGTCCTGGTGATGGACCTCATCCCGGGTGGCTGCTAAGTGCGCCCCTGGTCCAGGGGATGACGTTCCCACCCCCCCCCTCCTGCGTCGGGCTCCCGTTTTGAACAGCGCATTGTGGTCTCCACCTCCAAGCCTCCCTTCTTCCTCCTCCCCCTCCTGCCTCCTCCGCCTCCTCCTCACCATCCTCATCATCATCATCATCACCATCATCATCATCATCATCATCACCACCATCATCATCATCATCATCATCATCATCATCATCATCATCATCATCATCATCATCATCATCATCATCCTTCTCCTCATCCTCCTCCTGCCCCCTCCTCCCCCTCCTGCCTCCCGCTTTTTGCCTTATTCCCAACCCTCCTGTGTCGGGCTTGCGTCTTGAATAAAGCACTGTGGTCTCCACCTCTTTCTCCTCCCCCCCCTCCTCCCTCCTCTCGCCTCTCTCCTCCTCCTCATCCTTTCCCTCCTCCTCCTTTTCCTCCTCCCGTCTCTCCTTCCTCCTGCTTGCGCTGCCTGGGGGGCTGAATGGAGCACGGCTTGCGCGATGCGCCTCCCTCCCGTCTTCCTCTTGTCTCCTGCTTTATTCCCCACACTTCCTGTGTTGGGTTCCCCTTTTGAATAGAGCACTGTGCGCTCCGTCGCCACATTCGTGGGCTCCTGGGAGGCTCTGCGCACTGCCTAATTGTCGCCACTTTCGCTTGCGTGGGCTCCTAGGAAGTCCAGCGGAGCGGAGTTGTACGACCACCCAGTCGAGACCTCGCGGCCTTCCTGGGGGGGCTGCGAACTGCGCAACTGTCGCTACTTTTGTGGGTTCATGGGAGGCCCAGCGGCTCGAGACCCCGCAGCCCCCCTGGGGGGGCCGCGAACTGTGCAAATGTCGCCACCTGCGTGGGCTGCTCGGAGGTCCAGCGGAGTGTTTGCAGTGAGCAGTCCTGTGTGTAGTCGCTACATGTTTTCTAAGGGTTGGGTACGTCCCTGGGTCATTTTCTGTCGGTGAACCCGTAGCGTCCGTTTCGGGGAGTCGCCCCACCACATGTTCCCCCTACCCTCCCCGTAATGGTATCGAGGGTACGCAGGGGGGGTGGAGCCGTTTCCCCACATGCATGGCGCGGTGCTCACATGAATGTTGCGGTGTTGACAGGCATGCCTTGGTGCTCAGACGCATTCTGTGGCGCTCGCAGGCACGATCGCTCCCCCGCTGTCGTTAGCGACGGACGTTACATGGGGAACAACAAAGCAATATCAAGGTGCTCCCAACTTTTCGCTCCAGATTTGAGCCCCCATGGGGCCCTCTGGGCATCGTGCTCTGCAGGCCTCGGGGACCTCGGAAATCTTCGGGACACCTTAATCCAGGGACACTTCTAGCAACACCTGGTCATCGAGCTGGTGGGGAAGAAAGCTTCCATGGGCGACGAGATGCACCTGTTGATCGCGAAGGTTTGGAGGAGAGAGAATGAGAATGACATAAGCTTCACTTTTCGGGACGCCGCGCGGGTTTCTTGGATCGGCGTTGGGCTCCCCCTGGCCGCGCCTCCGGCGCCGCCCCTGGCGCGTGCGTCGATCCAAGAAATCTGCGCGGACTTCCGAACAATTACAGTTATGCAGTCGCTGATTCCTCTAAAGGCCATGGCGGAGGTTCTGGGTGAGTTGGAAGACGCCGATCATGTGGGAACCGCGCTGGAGCTCCTGACCCAGCTCTTCAGAGAGAACGCCGACGCACGGTTGTTGGTGGCACGGTGCCTCGAGAAGGTCCCTGCCTGTAGTGCGGAGAAGCACGGATCCGATCGATCAGATTTGGCTGCGCAGCGTGACGCCGTCAGGCCGATTTGCAGCGGCGCTGCGTTGTCACAAAGCCGGCATGTTTTTCGGCACTGGGGAGCGCGTTCAGTTAGCCTGGGCACGACGACAATGAGGAGGGGAAGGAGGACGATCCGAGGAAAGAGAAGCAGGAGAGAGTAAAGGGAGGAGGGGGAGGAAGAGGAGCGAGGAGAGCGTGGAGAGGTAGGAGGGCGAGGATGAGGAGGAGAACGGGGTTAGGAGGAAGAGCGAGGGGGAGCTGGAGGACGAGCCAGAAGAGGAGTGAGAAGGACGGAGGGGCCCAAGATTGGAGGGAGGAGCCGTAGCTGTTGTAGATCAATAGTGGGCTCAATCAGCCGGTGTGCCGTATCTTCCTGGAAGTATTTCGGATGCTGGACATCGGTCGAGGGTCTCGAGAACCCAGCCACAGCTAGATGCACTGACCCAACTACGGAGGAACGCTCAGAATCGCAACGCTCAGACAAGGCGACGCATCAGCAAACGAATCTGGAAGGAGATGCGGAGACGGAAACGGATTATACAGCGCGCGCGTGTCAGCACCATATTTGAAAAGTATCGCGGGTTGAGCCAAATAACGGTCATCCAATCAGGACGACAGCGGGCGCTACTAACATACATGCGTGGCCCAGACGGAACAAAAACACAAGCAGAGAGTCCATGGCAAACGCATTTTTCCAGATTTCCGATTTCTACGAGCATCTTTACCACTCCACTCACCTGGCTGTACTGCCAGACCAGCCAGCCGACAGAGTACCATCATTCACTCTCCAAGAGTTCCACAGGGCTGTCCAATCTCAAGTGCGGAAAAGCACCCGACACGAAGAACAATTGAGCCGCGATGCTAAAAAGCTCTCCGATGGAGATGAAGCAAGCAGTGCCGGCTTTGTACAATGCGAGCTTACAAGCTGTCTCACCAAACCCCGCAAAGCTGGCGACAATCCGTGATCTCAGTTATCCCTCAAGCAGGCTGCCTCACGCAACACCAGAATTATAAACAAGTGTGCAGCGTATCTTTACTATACAAGCTCTTCAGCAAGCTTCGCTACAACAGATTTCATCCACACCTCGCTGAGCAACAACCGCCGAACCAAGCTGGATTCCAGCCACGACGTTCAACGCAAGATCACCTTCTCATCTCACGTCGCGTATGCTCCGTGAGCGTGCGCAAGAATCGAACGTACCCCTTTGGAGAGCGACGCTTTATTGCAAGACAGTTTCCGACAGAGTCGAGCACGAAGGCCTATGGGCAGCATTGTCGAGCCAAGGCGATGCACCAGCTTAAATTCACCTACTCCAGCGATTATACTCGAGACAAACAGCGACGATGCGTACGGACGTGAAGAGACGCCTAATCTTTCTTCTGAGGGGTACAAACAAGGCTACCCACTCAGTTCATTGTTGTTGAATTCACTTCTCGAGTCTATGATGCGCCCGCTCGTCGCTAGCTGGAAGCGTCGGAAACCAGGGATCTCAGTTGGATTCGCAAGATTGCAGCCTCACCAGTCTTCGTTTCGCCGACGACATTTTCTTGACGGGCCGTACCCTTTTTAAGCTTTGCGACAATGCTCTAGGAAATGGCTGCAGCTGCACAGCTGCACGGTCTGCACATTCAGTCAGACAAGAACAACACTTGAACCAATTGCAATCAGCCCACCGGAAGAGCACGGCAACGCGTTGTCCTCTCTCTCTATGTATACATATATATATACATATATATATACATACATATATATATATTACCGCACAATGGCAAAGACAAGTATTCGGGGCAGCGGGTCTGATTTGAAGACGCCATGCCCACAACTATACAACATTTGCTCAAAACGGGATGGGCCGCAATCACAACACACAGACACGACCTCACAGGAACATGCTACCCTCTGAAACACCGGCCCCGACTTTTCAACGGCATTGTCACGCCAACGGTGATCTACGGCGCAGCTACATGGACTAACCGTGCTTCTGAGGCACCAGCTACATCGTACACAGCGCAGGACATTATGAATGATTGTTGGATCCCTAAGGCGGCGCCGAGCTACCGACACGAATTGCTCCAACGGAATAGAAATTGGCACATCCGACCACGGCGACAGTCACACGAACCAGGTGGTAGAATTGGAGCCATGGGTGGAGATCATCTAACGAACGACACGACAGGCAGAGGATTGAATAAATACGAACAGAGTTCACGATTGGGCCACGACGCAAAGAAGGATGGCGTGGAGACGCGCTGGCAGAATGGCGAAGCATTCCGTTTAAGCATGGGCGCTGTGCACCATCCGGTGGCACTTTTCTTTGCATGCCAATCTGAAGGGCACAGAAAGTCAGGTGGGCCGAGCAAACGTTGGGATGCTGACACACGTGAGTGCCCTTATACCACAGGAGGGCACAGCCCACCAGCCCGCAACAGTCACGACGTTCATGCCGCCGATTGGCTGCTCCTTGCGGCGAGCGACGCCGCAGGGGTACAGATGGAAGAACACTGCGTGAACGACGGCGCCGGCAGTGACCCCGAGCGCATGCAGCACAACCCAGAGCCCCGCGCACCGACATCGACACCCTGAACCTGCCCTCCATCAGAGACCCGAATCATCAGGGGTAACTCGGGTCAGGGTTAACTCGGGTTCGTTTTTCGGGAATCCGAGCCTGAGTTACCCCGGACCCGAGTTACCCCGGATAATTCGGGTGTCCAGAGCCCCAAATCATCAGGGATAATTCGGGTCAGGGCTAACTCGAGTTCGTCTTTCGGGAATCCAAACCCGAGTTACCCCGGGCCCGAGTTACCCTGGATAACTCGGGCGCCCAACTTCATTTCCCTCTTTCCTCCTACAGGGTGACATGTCTGACCTCATCCTACCTGTTCTGCTGTCACGAACTTTCTACCCAGGGGCGTGGGGCCACGGTCTGACCCGCCTGGCCCGAGCTCGGCCCCGGACTTGTGTCCGCAGCGGTGGCATGTTTTTCGTTCCTTGCTTTCTGTCGGGCGTGTCCCCCTACAGGGGGATTTTCGACGACAAATCAAACATACCCCCAAAATGCCCCAAGAAGGTCACAGAAGATTCAAAAAATAGGCCCCAGACTATTTCTGGACTACTGGCTTACTATTTCTGGGGTACCTTCTATTATTCGTCGAGAATCCCCCTTCGTACCCCTCCTCGCTCCTCCCGCCTCTCTCGGGGCCCCTCC